AGACTTAAATCTAAGACATCAAATTATGAAACTACTACAAGAAAACATTCAGGAAAATCTCCAGGACATTGAACTGAACAAAGATTTCCTGAGTAATATTCCGCAAGCACAGATAACTAACAACAACAACAAAAATGGATAAACAGGATCACATCAAGTTAAAAAGCTTCTGCACAGCAGAGGAAACAAAAATCAACAAGATGAAAAGCCAACTCACAGAAAGAGAGAAATTATTTGCAAACTACCTGTCTGACAAGAGATTAATAACCAGAATATATAAGGAGCTCAAACAACTTTACAGAAAAAAAAATCTAATAATTTAATTAGCAAATGAGCAAAATTTGAGACATTTCTCAAAAGAAGAAATACACATGGCAATTATATTAAAAAGTGCTCAGCATCATTGATCATCAGAGGAATACAAATCAAAGCAACAATGAGATAACTTCTCACCCCAGTTAACATGACTTTTATAAAAAAAGACAGGCAATAACAAATACTGGTGAGGATGTGGAGTCAAGGGAGCCCTCCTACACTGTGGGTGGGAATGTAAATAAGTACAGCTACTATGGAGAACAGTTTGGAGGTTCCTCAGAAAACTCAAAATAGAGCTACCATATGATCCAGCAATCCCACCTGTAGGTATTAATATATAACCAAAAGAAAGGAAGTCAGTGTGTCAGAGAGCTATCTGCACTCCCATGTTTATAGCAGCACTATTCACAATAGTCAAGATTTGGAAGCAACCTGAGTATTCAGCAGTAGATGAATGGATAAAGAAGATGTGGTATGTATACATGATAGAGTAATATTCAGCCATAAAAAAGAATGAGACCCTTTCATTTGCAGCAACATGAATGAAACTGGAGGTCATTATGTTAAGTAAAATAAGCCAGGCACAGAAAGACAAACTGCATGTCCTCACTTATTTTGTAGGAGCTAAAAATGAAAACAGACTGGGCATGGTGACTCACATCTGTAATCTCAGCACTTTGGAAGGTCGAGGTGAGTGGATCTCCTGAGATCAGAAGTTCAAGACCAACCAGGCCAAAATAATGAAACCCCATTTCTACTAAAAATACAAAACTTAGCAGGTGTTGTGGTGCACACCTGTAGTCCCAGCTACTCGGGAGGCCGAGGCAGGAGGATCACTTGAGCCAAGGAGGCAGAGGTTGCAGTGAGCTGAGATTGTGCCACTGCACTCCAGCCTAGACAACAGAGTGAGACTCCATCTCAGAAAAAAAAAAAAAAAAAGAAAGAAAAGAAAACAATTGAAGTCATGGAGATAGAGAGCAAAAGAGTTGTTACCAGAGGCCGGAAAGGGCAACCTTGGTGTGGTAGGTAAGCAGAAATAGTTAATGGGCACCAAAAAAATGGAAAGAATGAATTAGAATTAGACCTACTATTTGATAGTGTATCAGAGTGACTATAGTGAAAATAATATAATTGTACCTTTTAAAATGACTAAAAGAGTGTACTCGAATTGTGTGTAAACAAATGATAAACGCTTGCGGGAATGGATACCCCATTTACACTAATGTAGTTATTATACACTGTATGCCTGTATTAGACTATCTAATGTAACCTGTAAATATATGCATGTACTATGTACCCATAAAACTAAAAATTAAAGAATATATTTATATATGATTATATTATTATTTTAAATCTAATTTTTACTTTTAATTTATTTTATACATAATTTTAATTATGTTAGGTAATTATAATCTAAATATAAAATTTATATTTATATGTGAGGAAATGATACACATTTATGTATATATATATATGCACATTTATATATATATATAAAATACCATGTACAATCACATTAATAATCGCAAATTATTTATAAGCAATACAAATATAAATTTAAACATTTACAATCAATACAGATACAAATCAATTTAAAATCGCAAATATACATATTCATATCTAATATATTTGCAATCACAAATATTTACATGTGTATGCATATATATATATATATATATTGCATGTTTGTGATGGTAATGGTACCATTCTGTGTGTGTGTGTGTGTGTGTTATCATAAGAAATATATTTGGTCTTTGTCCCTAGCTCCTCGCACAGATCTTTGGGGTTCTTAGAATTCCCTTGGAACATCCTGAGTGATAAGACTATATTTTGACTTAAGGAGATTAAGATTTTTCTTAAGGAGATTGTTTTGATCACACCAAAGCCTATACTAATGAGACAACAGGGTGGGGCCCCAGATAGAGTTTGGGACTGGTCACCAGGAAAACCCAAGTTATTAGAAGATTGGAATTCTCAGCCCCACACTCAGACCTCCAGGAGGATGGAGTGGGATGTTTGTACTAAAGATCAAGCTTCCTAAAAGCTCTTGAACAGGAAGATTTGATGCGCTTCTGAGCTGGTAATCATATCCACATGCCAGGAGAGTGGCACACCCCAACTCCATCCTGGTTTCCATTTGTGTCTTTTATAATAACCTTCATAATACACCAGTAAATATAAGTAAAGTGTTTCTTCCCTGAGTTCCGTTAGCCATTCTAGAAAATTACGTGGAGGAGTCAACCCTATGCATAGCTAGTCAGTCAGAAGCCCAGGGTAAAAAACACAAGAACAAAAACAAAAACAAAAAAAAAGAAGAAGCCCAGCTGTCTGGACATCAGGACTTGTGACTGACAACTGAAGTGGGGACAGTCTTGCAGGACTGAACCCTTTAACTTGTGCAATCTGATACAAAGTCTATGTAGATAGTGTGAGAACTGAATGAAACTGTAGAACATCCAGCTGGTGTTGCAGAATTGGTCAGTGTAGAAAAATAATCCACACATCTGACTGTCAGAAGTGTTCTGTATGAACAGAGAAACCATTTGTTTTTTCACTGTGTGTTTATGTGTAAGCATGTATGCATGTATCTGTGTGGCTGTCTGTATATATGTGTGTGTGCATGTATATACATGTATATGTATACATATGTGCATATGTAATTTATATATTTATGTGTAGTTCTTAAGAAGCAATCTAATGGCACATCACCTTTATGAAAAATTTTTAAGAACTTTATTTAAGGATACAAAGGAATATTTAAGGAAATGTGAGGATATTGCAAGTTCAAAAATGTTTGATGTCAGATTTTCTTCAAGTAATCTATGGAATCTACACAAACTCAACTGAAATTCTTATGAAGGTATAAAGATCCACAGACAGCTAAATTAGTTTGAGAATAAAAGAATAAAGAAAAAGTAAAGGTGACAGGTGGCTGAGAAAAAGTTACCATACAAGAGATTAACATTTGCAAGGCCAAAGTAATTAAATCAAGGTAACACTGGCATGAAAACAGGCAAATAAACCTGTGGAACAGAATAAGGATGAAAAACTGGAGATGGTGGTACCACGAATTAAAGAAAAAAGGATCTATTATATAGGCTAGGATTTTGGAAAACAACTTTATTATTTGGAGAAAAATAACGCTGGATATCTATGTCCCTTAAACCACACATAAAAATAGATTTGAGATGGCCTATAAAACTATGTGCGAAAGGTAAAGCTTGAAATCTAGAAGGAATAAAATTTAAGGGAATATTTTTATAAGTTAGAAATGTGGAAACAATTTTAAAACATAATTTCTCTTCCAAATACACAAACACTAAGACAAGAAAATCATTAGATTTTAGTACAACAAAACTTAGGATTTCATTCCATAAATGGCATTGTAAAAGTTAAAAGAAAGACAAGTAACTGAAGATAAATGTATCATATAAACAATATTACATTAGTATCTGTAATTTACATAGGAATCATCAAAATCATCAAGAACAACATAGGAGATAGGAAATATAATGGGTAAAATTGGCAAAATAAATTGAATAAGCATCATGAATCAGAAGTCTAAATAGCTAAAAAGTTGTTTGAAGAGATGTTTAAGCTCAGTATGTCAGGAAATCACATATCAACACATCAATGAGCTATCATTAGCATTTCACACACATTGGATTAGTCAGCGTCACAAAGTTAGATAATTTCAACGTTCATGAAGTGATGATATGAAAATTACTCTAAATGCTAGTAGGACTGGCAAATTTATCTCTGCATCTACCTTATGAACGAAACAAGACTTAGTTGCACACTGCTGTTGGCGTGAATATAAAAACACATACACCAAAAAATTCTAATTTTTTACAAATAAAATGCATATTTAATGACTTTTTTGTCATATTTAAGTAAGCATAAGTGAGCACCTGTGGCGACTGGGGGTAGGGAATTGACTATAAATAAATAAATAAAGTAAAATAAGAGAGAATCCTTGCTCTGCCGTATGATAATGTTAAGGCTTGAGCATTGTGATTAATTCAACTCCACCTTTGAGTTCCAAAAGAAGAAGAGAAAAAAATCCAAACTATGTTCAGGATTGTTTACTAGGCATGAAGAGTGGTGTAGTTGAAAGAAGGTTTATTTAATATACCTAAATTTGAAAACTGGCTCTGCAATTTTCTAGTTTTAGAAAGTCCTTCAGCATTGATGTCTCACAGCAGCCTTGTAAGAGAGTTTTTATTATTATTCCCATTATTATTTTAAAAAAATGGAGCTCAGAAAGATCAAGTGACCTTGGTGAGAGACAGTTTTGCACTGCTGTCGTATAGGTTGAACCCTAGGAAATGGCTGCCGGGCACCCACTCTTTACCTATCAAAATGGCCATTTTATGTGTCCTACCCTAAGACAAAAATGTGTCTCTTTTGTCGCAAAATGAGAGGTCCACTCATTTAACTCTTAAGAAATAAGGAAGAAAAATAGGGAGGAGCAGGGTGTGAAATGCCAGCAGGTGAACATGTGCATTGCTAACTTTAAAATTTTGTGAAATTCAACAATCTTTAATACAAAACCCTTAATAAATGGCATGTTAGAGCACTGAGTTCTTAGTTACTATGAGTCCCGAGTGACTTTCTTAGAACATGCTACCTTACTAAATGACCCACCAAAAAAAAAATCTAAATAAAGAAAATAATTATGGTACCTCAAGAGAACCATGTATCCAGGTATGGCAGCCAAAGAATAAATGAAACTGCTTGTTGCTGACAAGATTAGGAAGTACTGGAGCATCGTGTAACAGTCAGGTCCTTTGTCACACAGCCCAAGAACTGCAGATGAATTTCCTGATGTTTGAATACAGCTGCAATTTTGGAACACCTGTTAAAAAATATATATGATATTACCTTAGCAAGAAAAATCTTGAACACAAATTTTAAACATTTTCTACACAGCCAGTTGGATCAAGACAGAGATGGCTTGTTCCCTTTACTCCATCTCCATTATGATGTCTCTCAAGATTACAGCATGTAACAAAACGTGGAAGGGTGGTTTCAGAAAATGGTATATTTTTCTAAATATATATTGTAAATTTGTAATAACTAATAAGCTACCCTAAATACACACTTTTTTAAAACGCTGTTTTGACACAGCACTACATTCAACAAAATCTGTTCCAGAGTGCTCAATTGAAATATTTAGATGCTTATAAATAAACAAAGCTTTGCTTCAAAAGAAATAGTTTACTTCAAAAACAGAGTTGTCAATTTTTTTATGTTTCCAGGTCTTAATAAAAATTAAAATTTATTACTTAGTCACTAACCAACATTATATGAGTATTAATATTGTGGTTATATTGTGATATCTTAGAGGCAAGAGAACATTCTTAATTCTAAATTTTTAAATAACTGTAAGAGTGTGAAAAACACAGAAAGCACATCCATACAAAACAAGAAAAAAAAAATATATATATATATCAAGGCAATTACCTGGATAATTGAGATCAATACTGCTAACTTTATCTCAATTATAAAAATGTTTTAGCCGGGCGCGGTGGCTCAAGCCTGTAATCCCAGCACTTTGAGAGGCTGAGGTGGGTGGATCACGAGGTCAAGAGATCGAGACCATCCTTGGTCAACATGGTGAAACCCCGTCTCTACTAAAAATACAAAAAAAATTAGCTGGGCATGGGTGGCGCATGCCTGTAATCCCAGCTACTCAGGAGGCTGAGGCAGGAGAATTGCCTGAACCCAGGAGGCGGAGGTTGTGGTGAGCCGAGATCGCGCCATTGCATTCCAGCCTGGGTGACAAGAGCGAAACTCCGTCAAAAAAAAAAAAAAAAAAAAAAAAAAAAAGTTTTAGCCCAGAGTATTTATAACCCAAGTTATCTGAGAAATATTATAAACTGCTTGGAAATTTCAGATAACTGTTCAGATGCTATGAAGGTTTTACATAAGATCTGGGAATAAAAGGTAATCAAGTGACTATTACGGAGTTATTTTTCCACAAACAAAAAAACTAATTTGGTTTTTTTTTTTTTTTTTTGAGACGGAGTTTCGCTCTTGTTACCCAGGCTGGAGTGCAATGGCGCGATCTCGGCTCACCGCAACCTCCGCCTCCTGGGTTCAGGCAATTCTCCTGCCTCAGCCTCCCGAGTAGCTGGGATTACAGGCACGCGCCACCATGCCCAGCTAATTTTTTGTATTTTTAGTAGAGACGGGGTTTCACCATGTTGACCAGGATGGTCTCGATCTCTTGACCTCGTGATCCGCCCGCCTCGGCCTCCCAAAGTGCTGGGATTACAGGCTTGAGCCACCGCGCCCGGCCACTAATTTGGTTTTAAGGAAATAATTAATTTTACTTTTATTAAATGCAGGCCCAGTTCGTAGTTGGGAAGTACCAATACAACACAAAAAAGTTCTGTCAAATAAGATGTCTTACCATGTTTATTCCCGCTCCAATGGATGTCTCACAACCAGCAAGACAAGCCGACAGGTAAGACAAGCCATTGTTTCCACACACAGGATCCCATATTTTAGTTGGACAGTTGCAATCCACATTGCAATTAGCAAAAATGTTATTTTGCACATATAAATCTTTTTGAATTCTGAAACGATTTAAAATAATGTAACGGATACTAAAAAATGATTCAATCATTTTTTTTCTTTTTTTCATCTCAATCCCCAACTAGATTTCCTCTCCTCCCATGAATAGAAAAAGAAATCTTCCAGTCATCAATATGTGGCCTGTGTACTATAGCTCTGATATAAAAGAGACCTGCTTTATGACCACATAGCCACTCTTTCACTGATTTATCTCAGAAGAACATGTAGACAATAAACAAGCATTAATTGATATCACAAGGACAGTCATACACATACAGCCACATGTACATACAATTATAAATTCACTCACCCTGTGATATGTCCCCAACCTCTTTACTAAGCCTACCATATGGGAGTCATTTTTTCACATATCGTTAGATCTCAGAAGATGAAGATAAACTAATCTCTGTGATTGATACATTATGTAGCAAATAACAAGGCATGACTAACATGAGAAAATAAAATCTGCAAATTCCATTTATAATGTAGATAATACATTTAGCTCAAGAAACAGATATTTGAATTAAAGAAATACATTCTACTAAGATCAAAAGTGACCAGTGGTTATAATATGATTGAAAGAGCATTTGCATGGTAGTTTAGAAACTGAATTCAGTCTAGATCACAGTGTGGCTTTCTACACATTCTGTCTGTGAATTAGCATCATGGGAGATGGAAACAATCTTTAAAATTTATTCCAATTTTAAAATCCATTTCTATACTGATGTGGTTGAAGAGATTTGAAATGAACTCCTTTTATCATTAAATCTTTTTGAATCTTAATTTCATTTGTAAAGAGAGATAATGCTTATCTTAAATGAAGTTTATGAGTCTCAAATCAAATAGCATATATAAAATTATTATGATTTTATATTTGAAATTATTTCAATCTAATAAACTTTGATAATTTTGAAAAAACATTTTAGGATGTCCTTTATTTCATTTTAACTGATGGCTTGATTATCAAAATATGCCTTCAGGTGAATTATTTGAATGTACATCACGATGGAAAACCTTTCAGTAAAACACAGATGACCTTCAAAATACAAAATATGAAACTATTCAATATTTTAGACATAGCAATACAAATGAAATATATGAATGTATAAATTAATTTATCACGTATTAGGATTCAGTTATACCAAACTGAAGCCTATTGTGAAAACATAAAGGTTATTTTGACTGTGTAGTCAACTCTTAATTTTACTCAGTTATGAGAATGTAAGTTATATAGATAACATATTTTAATGTAACCTAAAACTCTAGGTAGTTTCTGTGATAGGATAATGTCTATTCTAATATCACAAGGACAGTCATACACATACAGCCACATGTACATACAATTATAAATTCACTCACCCTGTGATATGTCCCCAACCTCTTTACTAAGCCTAGAGCTTGGATAGATTGGCTTGATTGGCAGATGAAGAAGACCAAAGATTACTACCGTTAACTCCAATAAGCAAATGATGTGATCATGTATTGCCATTGTAAAAAATATATTAACTGTTTGTTGAAATATTCTGACATTCATTAGAAAACAACATACCCTTCATAAGAGGTATTTATTCCAACAACTGAAGAGTTTTCACAAGTCATGAGAAAAGATAAAAAATAGAGAAGATAATCAAGTAAGGATAACCAACATCCTATGTGGGCAGCTTGTTTGACAGTAATCTTGAACTTCTTCATAATTAAGCCACCAACTATATATCCAATGCATATTGGAGGTAAGTTATAAACACCTATAAATGCAAATAAAATGTTATTTACAAGATGACTTACCAAAGGAACAAATATGCTATCACTTTTATGTAATACGTCTTACATAAGATACTATTTAGGTCCAACTCATAGTGAAGAAGAACGATTTAATTTTATCCCCACTTAGTTACACATTATCCACAGGGAAATTTTGAAATGCCCCATAATGGGGAAGTATATTTTGGGAGACTGTTGTTATCATATTAGCATTCATGTAATTCATTGCAGTAGCTTGCAAATTTCTTTTAGGCAGAGATCATGACCAAAAAAAAATCTCTCTTCTTAGGATCCAGATAGGAGTGGCAAGTCAACGTTGACCAGTAATTTCATTTATTACCTTCCATCCTGTGTGATGAGAATGTATATATATATGTATGTGTGTGTGTGTGTGTGTGTGTGTGTATGTGTGTGTGTGTGTGTATACATATATAATTTTTCAGTTACTTATCCACGCTTTGGTTCAGAATTAGACTCCTCTCAAGGTGCTTTTTCTTTTCTTTTTTTTAGAGACAGAATTTGGCTTTATTGCCCAAGCCGGAGTGCAGTGACATGATCATAGCTTGCAGCCTCAACTCCTGGGCTTAAGAGGGATGCTCCCATCTCAGCCTTCCAAGCAGCTGGGACTACAGGCTCACAACACCACACCTGGCAAATTTAAAAAAAAAAAAAATGTAGAGATGATATCTTGCTATGTTGTCCCAGCTGATCTTGAACTCCTGGTCTCAAATGATCCTCACTCTTCAGCATCCCGAAGTGCTGGGATTACAGGCATGAGCCACCACACCCAGTTCAAGATACTTTAGAAAGTCACTTTGTTGAGCCTGTTGCTGTCAGGTGTATTTACATTTCATTTCTTGCTGCTACCGGCCAGCACTCTTCCTTTATCAAACCGCCCCAAGAAGATTAAAAAAAAAAAATAGAAAAACATCCATACAATGTGAGCATCTGGCTCCCTGGATCATATTACTGAGAGAGCTTTTTAAAAACCTGTTCCAGAGCCCCACACCAGGGAGTCTGATTCAGTGTGTCTGAGGGGGAACCCCAGGTGAAGCCTTCACAAGCACTTTAGGTAGTGTGGATACAAGTAGCCTGGGATATTAACTTTTCAAAACAGTGAAAAGATCCCAGGAAAAACCCAAGTTAGGGTAAAACCACTGAGGTTAGTGTGATTTCATGAAAAACCGAATGTGTATGACTGCAGAGACACCTAAAACCACTAGAGGGAGCAAGAAATTAAATTAGGAGGAACATAGAATCTTTGAGAATTGGAACCAAAAGAGTAAAATTTGGTAGTAAAACGCAGAATCCTAGTGAGCTAACTCTGTCTTCTTTTTTAAATTAATGGATTGCCTATCTGAAAATATCTAATTTTTGCACTCCCCAAGGTTTTCATAAATATTATGAATTTACATTCTGAACTGCAGAGAGCAGAAGAGAAGTCAAGATACTTCCAACCTCTTCTCTACCCTTTCTTGATTTTTTTTTTTTTTTTTTGAGAGTAGAAGGAAGAAATGCAGCAGAGACAAAAGATATTCTAAAAGACGTCAACTTAGGAGTTTGCTACACCCACCGTCGCACTGTTCACAACTTCATGGGGGAAAAAAGTGTTACTCAGCCAAGTGCAGTGGCTCACGCCTGTAATCCCAGGACTTTGGAAGGCCAAGGCAGGCAGATCACCTGAGGTAGGGTGTTTGAAACCAGCCTGACCAACGTAGAGAAACCCTGTCTCTGCTAAGGATACAAAATTAGCCAGGCATGGTGGCACATGCCTGTAATCCCAGCTACTCGGGAGGTTAAGGTAGGAGAATCAGTTGAACCCAGGAGGTGGAGGTTGTGGTAAGCTGAGATCATGCCATTGCACTTCAGCCTGGGCAATCAGAGCAAAAGTCCATCTCAAAAAACAAAAAAGTATACTACTAATGCAGAGAAAAACAAACATACCCATTAGAAAGATCGCATCCGAAGATGATTTTCCATATTGCTGTTCCAGGTATTTAGGCATGAAGGAGATCATGTTAACAAAAGCATTAAACTGTATCACACTTATAAGTATGAAAAGCATATAAACTGGATTGCAGGAAAGACTTTTCATGAATGGTAAAAAATCTGAAATGAGAGAATGACAACTGTGTCAAATGAACTTGGCTTTGCATTTTGATTGGCTTTTCCTGAAACATCCACCTCCTCAAAAAATTATGTTTTTTACTGTTTGTAATGCATATGTGTTTGTTAATTCTTTTTTCTCCTTGAAAGCGGAAGTCATAGCAAAGTTTTGGTGACTTCTGGAGGTCAGTGATGCAGCTGACTGGTTAGAGATCAGAACACAATAGTTTTTCCCTCTGTAAGTCACTATTGACTCTTAAAGATCAATTAGCAAAACTACAAAGTGACCAAAATATTGTCTGTGTCCACAGCATTTTATTTCTAATCTTTTGTTCTTCTATTAATACATTCTCTTTTCTACCATTCATTAGAATGAAAGGTGCTTGTTCTGTTCTGTAAAATCTGGAGGGAAATAAACTTGATAAAGAAGATTTCACATAAATATTTATGTTATCACTCCTTGAACATTTGAAATGAAGATATATGTGGGAATTATTGAAATATAAATGTTCTCAAGTATCTGGACATTTTTTGCTTCTTCAGAACAACAGTTTCAGTGGTTCTGCCAATGATTCACAAAAGGACCTACCTGGAGATATTTTTTAAAATACCAGCATTCAGTTCCCAACCTCAGAGATGCTGATTCATTCGGTACATTCTAAGGACTATGTAAATGACTTAACCAAAAATTATTCCTGTTTGAAAAATCCACAGAGCCAAACGTGTGGCCTGCCTCTAGCAAATGTTCTTGGTCACACAGCTGCCATGTAGGCTCAAGTTCTCACTTTGATTTTCTTTCACTTTTCCTATCTACATGTTCTCTGTCTTGACTTTCTTATTTTGTAGTATACTGGTTTGCTTAATAAACTGCTCACAATTCATTCTGGAACAAAATTTCAATAAATAGACAATCTGGAAGAGGAAGAAGCATAGATTAATGCAAATAAATAAATTATAACTGTAGAATTTGTATTTGTGAATAGGGGACCTGACAGGAGAGCTAAATGTTATCCAAACTCTGAAGATTTTTAGGTCACCCATGTTTGTTGACATCCCTGTCCTAATAAACGAATCTCAGTAACACAACTTTGTTTTCTATTTCTTACAACAAGCTAAGCTCTTTTGTAATTTTGAAAATAGAACTGATTTTGCAGATTGCAAGAGGTCTATCAGTCCATAACTATCCTTTAGGGAAGAGTTTTTAATCTCATCAGAATAATCCTGAGAATGTGCAAGATTCTGAGTTGGCTCCTAATGACCAAAGATGTATTAAATTATGCTCAATTATGATTTAAGAGAATTTATAATTTTAAGAGAAATTCTTTGCAAAATAACATTGTAATTTATGGGTGATGATAGAAGCAGCAACGGCAACAATAAAAGTACTAACATTAGTATCAGTATTAATAATAATGTGTGCTAGAATGTTTTTTACCTTCACACAACAATTCTATAACAAGTATTATTATTATCCCCATTTTACAGAAAACTGAGCCCCTCCCCATCAATCAAATAAACATTTTTAAGTTCCAATACCCACGCCACACATTCACACTAATTAAATCAGACCTTCTGGGAATACTACAGAACTTTCAGCCATCAGTCTTTTTTTTAATTTTCTAGGTGATTCCAATGTGCCACCGAGTTTAAGAATCAGTGCTCTTGAGTACTAAATACTTAGACTATCTTAGTTTAGTTTACCACAGAAAAACCTTCTGTAAATTATGCTTTGAGCTTTTATTGAGGTTCTGTACCAAAAAAAAACCAAAACCAAAAACAAAAACAAAAACAACAAAAACTTACATGAAATATACCCTTGCATTTGCTAGAAAATCACTACATTGCTCAATATTACCTGTATCATACATCATATGATCACTAAAATTTTTTTTTTTTTACAATTTCTTCCTGAGAAACTGCTTCTTTTTGTAAATTATTATTCTTTCCACTACCAAGTATAGAGTTGGGTCACCTCTCATGGTTTTCTGTTGTTGTTGTTTGTTTTTTCTGCCTTAATTTCTAGGAAGCTCATAATTAAACTAACATGTTAGTTACAAAATGATGCTAACCATTAGGATTGGAGTATATTTTTTCCTACTTTTGTTCTTAATTTAAATTTGCTTGTTTGTTTTCTTTTAATTCAACCTACGATCTTTGTAAAATGGGTTTTTTAGAGCAAATGGGACCGTATATATACACATATGAGAGAGAGAGTGCCAAGACTGACCTAAAAGTTTACATAAATGCTGATCTGAAATAATTCAGCTTCCAAATTATACTATTTCTTTTCAAGTAGTAGCATAGGAAGAATCAGACTAGTTAGGTATTATTGACTGGTGACTGTTCATGACAAATTGTCTCAACACAGCATAGCATGTCATAATGTTAGACTAAAATACAGAGGTATCTATATGAAATAAAAGGTCAATTTTATAGTATTTAAAATATGTGTGTTTGCCTTTAGTGATTCCATTTTTTTCCTTCTTGAACTCTTCTCTTTGTTTCTCTTCATTTTCATTTTTAATTATGTCAGCATTATCCTCCTGTCCTTCCTTTGGAAGTGTTTTGGGCAAAAAGAAAAAGGGAATGGCAGTGAGCACATTAACTCCTGCACAAATCAGAAAGCCAAACCACCATGCACCAACCCAACGAGTATCAATAGGAGTTATGGTCAGATCATCTGTAAAAAAATATACACACTTTTGTTAGCTTAATCAGTATTTTCCATATGGACTATAGAAAATTTTTAAAATTATAATAATCAGGTCCTAACCAAGTATAAAATTTGCTTATAGTTCAGACACTGATAAAATTTTTCTAATAATATGTGGTATTATAACATTATCTAGTAATAAATTAGGCTGGTTATCTATCATGTAAGGAATTTAAAAGCAGATAGTAACTAAACAATTACAGGTTCTATTTTGTCATCAACAAATGATTACTTAATTGAAATAAATTCAAACCTATGTGCTTAAATATTTTAAAACCAAGAAATATAGTTGTGCAGTAGATGGGATTCTGTGTCAGATTAGCATTTTATCCTGCTCTACTGCTTTCTGGTTTGGAATATTTGAAAAGTTATTTAAACTCCTGCACTACAGTTTGCTCACTTGTAAAGTGGCGATTATTTATCAAATTGAGGACTAAGTTAGGCCATGATTATATATCATAACATATCTGAGATGCTTCGTATAATCTAGACACTGTAAAAATAGATTTTATTGAATTACCTGTGTTCACAGATCCAGTGTCAACATAAACATTTGCACAGAATGATGCCAGCAAAAGTCCAATCAAAGGACCAATAATAGCTCCTGTTTCTACAAACCCTAAAAATAAATAAAAATATAAGGTTATAGTATAGTTATATGCCCACATAAAAAGTTCTAGGTCCATGAAAAACCTGAAGAGTGAATGTTTTTGCCTTAGATACTTTTGACTATATCTATACAATTTATACAAAAGTTCAGGTTGATGTACATATAAGTAATGCTTTTTTCTATAAATGTTGAAAAAGAACCTCATAATTGAAGGCCACTTTCCCCAGCCTCCTAATTCTCTTTCATGCTGCATCATGGGTAAAGATTTGCTATAGCAGCACAGGCAGTCCCAGCTTGGCTCATGCCATTGACTAGGTCGTGATATAACCAAGGTCCTGTTAATTCATCCCACAGCCACGTTTTGGGAGGAATTCTAAAGCAATATCATGTTATAATAAATTTCTTATGGCACATTCCTCAGAAAAGTTTCATTCTCAGATCTGCAACTTGAAACTTCCTTTTGGCTATGTCCTCATTATTATTATATGATACAACTCTGATTTTATCACATTCTCCTTCCTTTTCTTCCACATTTTTATTTTCCATGTCCATCAGTCCTAGCTCTTTGTTTAAATTCTTATTCATTAAAATTACATCGTCAGCTGTCTCATCATTTGCCCACAATTCAGAGCCTATGCTGAACCCTCCATGATCTCTGAAAATCCAGACATGAACTTCTTCGATTTTCTTCCTGTTCACTTCAAAATTTGGTTTTGCCTATTGTCTCTGCCTTCTCCATGGTTCTGTGGAGAACCCACCCTATACACACCTGACTTTTTGGTTCCAACCCCTTTTATCTTCTCTAAGGTCTTGCTCTAACAAACACTCCCTCTCTTGTGCTTGTTCAATTTCCCTGTAGCCAACGATACTACAAAATCTCAAATCCACCCCACTTTCTCTCCTTTCACTACAGTCTCTGCCCCTACTTCCTTACCTCTCACTCACATTACTCAAATCCTTTTACATTTTCTTTCAAATACTCTCAGGTAGCATCAGTGAACACTTTGTCACTAATCTAGTGTCCTCTTTTGGTCTTCATCTTTCTAGCTTTCTAGGTTACTTGATATTACTGGCCAACTCCTCTTTTCACATTTTTTTTTTTTTTTTTTTTTTTTTTTTTTTTGAGATGGACTCTTGCTCTGTTGCCCAGGCTAGAGTGCAGAGGCACATTCTTGGCTCACTGCAACCTTGGCCTCCAGGGTTCAAGTGATTCTCCTGCCTCAACCTCCTGAATAACTGGGATTACAGACACGCACCACCATGCCTGGCTAATTTTTGTATTTTTATTAAAACAAGGTTTCACCATGTGAGCCAGGGTGGGCTCAAACTCCTGACCTTGCGATCCACTAGCCTCGGCCTCCCAAAATGCTGGGATTACAGGCCTGAGCCACAGTGGCCAGCCACATTTCTTCCTAAGACTTTCGTTAAACTATACATGCATTGTTTCATTGTGTTCTCATGACTATTCCTTTTTCGATTTTCCTTTCTCCTAGTCTATTTACTAAGTAGAACAGTATTTTATCTTAATATTTCTCAGTATGTATATAGTCTTCCACAACAACCTCATTTCTCCCTCTTGATTTAATTTACTACCTCTCTATAGATGATTCACAAAGTTTTTTTTAATTTTTGACAGAGTTTCGCTCTTGTTGCCCAGGCTGGAGTGCAATGGCGCAATCTCTTGGCTCACTGTAACCTCTGCCTCCCAGGTTCAAGTGATTCTCCCGTCTCAGCCTCCCGAGTAGATGGGATTACAGGCGCATGCCACTACACTCTGCTATTTTTTATATTTTTAGTAGAGCTGGGGTTTCATCGTATTGGTAAGGCTGGTTTTGAACTCCTGACCTCAGGTGATCCACCTGCTGCAGCCCCCCAAAGTGCTGGGATTACAGGCGTGAGCCACCGTGCCTGGCCGATTCTCAAACTTTTAATCTAGCTTTTATGTTCTCTTTTAAACCTCAGAGCCTTACATGGAACTGTTTTCTTGATGTAGAGTTATTTGATTTATAGCTATTTGGTTATGCACACACACATGTACCCACATTATATACATATATATGTATACACACACACTGTATACATAGTACTAATAATTATGTAGTTCTTCATTTACTAACCTTATATGAACCATATCATTCATTTTAATATGTATAGAGATTATCACAGCTACATTTATATATAATACATCCTAGTATTTGTTGAATAAAGCAATAGGCATCATAGCAAGGTGTTTGTTAATTTCTTGTAGGAAAGTGTTTGCATTCTTTTAATATAAGTGTGTGAAGGAATTTGAAAGGACTCAATAGAAAATCACTGGAAAAGATTACTGCAAAATTATTGAGTTGTCAAAAAGTTTCAAAAGTCACTTTAGTTAATGATTTCTCAATATTTTCATTCATCTTAATTATGTATAAATAATTTCTGTCATTTCTCACCCTCTTTGATTTTCTAGTTTTTAAAAGATATGCTGCCATACGTTAATAGCAAAATGTTCTTATACGAAATGTTACAGGTTTATGAAGAACTATTGATAAAATAATAAAAAATATAAGCAAGTCATGCATAATAAATTAAGAATATTTCAGAGGTTGAAAGACAGCACAAGAAGGTGGGTCTTAAGTTGGCTATTGTGCCAGGTGACCTCGGTGGATTTTAAAAAGGCAATTTCAAGAAACGTAACCAAAAAGATGAAAATATGTTTGTGAAAAATATGATGAAACCTGTCCATGTGGAGATATCATGATGAAGATAAACTATATAGAAACTAAGTAAGTGAATGTCATGCAGAGCCATGAGTAATAAGCAGGGAGATCAGATTTGATAAATAAGGAGCCTATAGATGTCATAAATATAGTAGAGAATACATGATTAAAACAATGCTGGAGAAATATTATATGCAAATTTTTTTAAACTGAGAGAAGAAAACACTGAAGAGAAAATAATCAATACAGAGAAACTATAAAGTATGAGAATCTGAACAAAAACAGAGGTAGTGAAAATAGTGAGAAAGGTTATGAATATATGGAACATTTTAGAGAAAACATTGGTAAATCTCTTAACGGATTGAATATAGTGTGGTGCCAAGCAAATGAAGGGGTCACCTCCAAGGGTACTAGGTTTGTGGCATTTCCAATAGCAGAAAGCAGATTTATTTTTTAAATGGCTCATTGTCATTTAGCATATCGTATCTCCATTCAATAAACTTTTATGGAAGGCCAACTGTGCCAAGACACTCTACTCACCATTGTGGATATCACTAAGACTACAGAAATATGACTAATTTCTACCCGCAAGGAACTTATTGCCCTGAAAGGAATCTAAGGTAGATTTTCAAACTTACCAATATATAAAGGAGAATTTTCAGATTTGGCAAAATCTTCTATATAGGAAATACCCAAAGGCATGATGGGAGTTTCGCCCATTCCACGTACAATATTTCCTACCAGGACATACACCCACATTAATGATTTAACTTCCTTTGTACACTCTGCATTAAAAAAAAAAAAGACATGACATTAGCGCTTTGATAATAAAGTGTCAGTAATAGTAATTCCATGTTTTCTGTAGGCATTTCACAGTTATGTGACCATGGCACCTTGTCAGTGATTTATATTACTACTCCAGCAATGACTTCTTGGGGAATTCCTAGTGCATTTTCTGACAGAGGACTTGGGTATGGACAAGTGTAAGTGATATGCTGAGCCAGTACCTATTGAGTTGGGAGAGATGAATACATACCTCCTCCCAACTCAGTGTTCAGTAACACCTCATTGGTAGTTTCATAGCAGTGTTACACCACAGAACACTAAAAACTAAAAATTAAGGTTTTTATTCTCTGAAGAGATTCAGTTCCTCAGAAACTCCTGGACCTATTCAGCTGCTACAAGTGCTTCCCCCTTCCTCTCCGACTTTGGGGAGACAAAAACACAGGAATATTTTTCTCTAGAATTGGTACTATATAAGATTTAAACAAGAGTCTTGCTAAAGTGTGAATTCTCTACAACTCTAATTATTTTATAGAAACTAAAAATATTTAACTGGGTAATCATCATAGGTTCTCTATAGAACGTGTTGTATGTCGTAACCACCAAATAACTTTAGTACAGAAATCCACCCCAATCCTTGGAGGTGCAGCTGCTTAGTAGAACAGCAAAGACGGGACCAAAGGGAATAGAAAGTGAGAATTATAGGGAGATCTCTGAAGAATTCTATCAATCTCTTTGCCATTTATGTTCTAAGCCAAAATAGCTGGTAAGCTGTGAGGAAGCTCTATGGAGTCCGTTTTCAGAAAAGTGAAGGACAATGCATTCTCACACTTTATAAACGGGCCAGGTGAGACCTGTAGGGTCCTGACAATGGCTGGGTCCAGGAATTTCTTGTGAGGGCTATCTTTCCACCATTTCCAGTCAGAAAATAATAGTCTCTATTTCTGGGCATTCAGATTTTTTGTGTGATGTGCAAAGTGATTTGTGTCTAGAGAACACAGGCTAACTCTAAGCCTACTCTAGGGCAAAATCGAAAGCATCAATGCATTTTCCCGGAGATGTGCCAGAATGGGAAGGTTTTCCTGTATCCACAGTGAAGCATCTGGGTCAGTCTTTGGCAATAGCTAGCTCAGGAAGAGAACACAGGCCACTGTTAATGTCACTGTTTTCCTTTGTTTCCCTCATGGGGGTTCTTCGGCTTCTTCCTGAGACAGATATTTTTCAACTTTTTGAAACGATTTTGGTTTCCTGATTCAATGGTGATCGTGAGATTCCCACCCTTGTGGATTACCGCAACTTCCACCAGCATGAATCCAGAATAAAAATGTCCCCATAAAAAGAGGAAAAGTTCTGGATTGAGTTATTAGAGTCATCTCTAGACCAATTATAACCAGAAGATTATACAGGTCCCTTAGCAGAAGGCATAGAAGGGGCAGAAGCCAGTCCATTGGTGCCTAGGGCTACAGGAAGTTGAAAGAAGCACTACTATTGTGTAGAATTTTCAAGCACCAACTCAAGAAGAAAAAAGAAGGGAGCAGAAAGACAAGTTCCTAAGTCAATAGAAAGGGAATAGAGTAATTCAGAACTGTAGCCTATTTGCCTGTTTTCCCTGCTATAAAAGATCAGTGATAGAACACAAATCTCTTGAACTTGTTTCTATCGTAGGTTCCTATTTACCTAATCATATACATCAAATCATCAACATAAATCCATTCTTCTAAAACATTTTTTCTCTGTGGGATAAACTCAACAATGGTCCTTGAATAGATATCTTAGACTCTCTCCTTTTTTTTTTTTTTTTTTTTTTTTTTTTGAGATAGAGTCTCACTCTGTTGCCCAGTTTAGAGTGCAGCAATCTAGGCTCACTGCAACCTCTGCTTCCTGGGTTCAAGTGATTCTCCTGCCTCAGCCTCCTGAGTAGCTGGGATTACAGGGACCCACCACCACACCTGGGTAATTTTTGTATTTTTTAGTAGAGATAGGGTTTTACCATGTTGGCCAAGTTGGTCTCAAACTCCTGACTTCTGGTGATCTGCCTGCCTTGGCCTCCCAAAGTGCTGATATTACAGGCATGGGCCACCACACCTGGTCCTTTAACTCATTTTTAAATAACCACGTTAATAAATAAACAAGGAACTCTTAATAAATACATTCAAATATAATAAAAATAACATTCTTTATTATTAGCTATCTTATTCCCCATTGTGACCACTTTGGAAGCTCCTGGAGAGAGAACATATCTTTGTTTATTTACCTAACTCAACCAAACCCAAGAACTCATTTAGAGCTTTTCAGCAGAAAGTGTTCAGTTGTAAGTTCACAGGACAGAAATCAACACAATGAAGTAGACAACCTGATGGATCTTGTGTTGGTCTTAAAATCTGGGTTCCATTTTCCATACACAAGAAACTGCCTGAGGACAAGTTGCCTGAAACTGAAACTGTAGATTCATATTCATATCTGTATAAACACAGGGAAAACATGTTTAGGTTAAGGAGGTAACGAGAACAATGTGGACAATGTACAGATTATTACTTTCTGTTTCCTGTACACCACAACATTCAAATCCAGTAAAAATATCTTTTCACCTTTGCCATCCAAGTTATCATAAATTAATGTCATCAAAAAACTTGGCACTTACTGTAAGTGTACAATTTTTTTATACTTAGCTTTCAATGATTTGCCTGTGGATGATTTACCTTTAGATTATCAACTATCAACCTTCTTTGATTTTTAGGTTATCATTTCCTGGAAGTAATTATTATGGGAAAAGGAACACAAACTTTAAAAAAAAATGAGAAATTTAATAATGCATAATTAAGAATATAAAAGCTTTGAAGGGAATAACACAACAAAACAAGTCTTCAGTTTTGCATTTTCTAAAGTTTGCTCAGAAGAAGCAAAAAATTCCACTTTCTGAGACACCCTGCAATAATTCCTCCATGTATTTCATAAACCCCTAAGAAAAACTAAATATTTGCCCATCATAATGAGAGGCATTAGAGAATCGCAATCACCATGACACATAATGACTTTTTCTCTTCTCATAAGAACAAATGGAATAATAAACTGTGACCATTTAATTTAAGCAAATTACCACAAGATCCATATGCTTTTCCTCGGTAAGTAAATTACGTGCTGCAAGAATGGGGGGGAAAAAGTACGTTCAGTAAAGTCTGTTAGAAATTATGCTTGATTGCTTTCTATGTTTCTCTTAGATAAGCTAACCAGAAGAAAACTTGCCCTTCTGAGTTTCACAAAAGCTAGTGTTATGCCACTGATAGTCTTTATTTCTGTGCTATAGGATATAATAAAAGGGCTCAAAACACCTTCCTCTTAGAACAACTGTTCAGTGATGCCCAAAAAGTTAGGCTGTGAACTACAGACAAAGGCGTCTGTCTCCATACTCATAATCCAATGAGACATGGCAACCTCAGGGAAATGACACCTTTGGCAGGTGGTAAAAAGAAATGTAAGTAGTAGCTGAATAGTACTTGACATTATTTTGGATAGGATAAGAAACAAAAGAAAAGGAAAGGCTCTTTGCTTAGAAACTCTGATCCCTTCAAAAATACTTTAAAAGAGAAAATACGTTTTGTTAATTTATCTACTAAAAATCCAATAAGTCAAAGTCCATTCATTCCCAAAACACCAGAAAAAGACAGTAAATAGATTTTCAAACAGAATAGGAAAAGGCATAATTCCATAAGGACAGAAAGAATGGAGAATCTGACAATAAAAGCGAGCTCAACAAGATTTTGAAAATGGAAAAGCAGGTGACTGAGTGGTCACTGAAACAGAAGACATGAGAAGTGCGTAAGTGTCTGCAAGGAAACAATGCCACAAAGCCCGGGAACGTTCAGTCAAGATACTTCCAAATTCAAAAGTGAGTATGGTCCAAAACACGGAAGAGTGCAAACATTTTGGTTTACAGTGTGTTTAAGAAACATTGAACTCCCAGAGACATCCCCTGCCACTCCAGCTGAAAATGTTCATTGACTCCAGAGTCTGGAGAGGCACACTGAGCATAGAAAGGCAATACAAAAAAATTGGAAGTATTAGATTTTTTAAAAAATCTGCATATTAAACGGTGAGATTCTCACTCACATTTGGCTGGTAGCTAAGCTTCTACTTCCCAAGGAATAGGTTGTAGAATCCCTGCTTAGGAAAACAGGTTAGGTGCAATTCTGAGCTATCTGTAAAACAGCCAGTCCCTATGCAATGACTCAAGAAAGAACTCCTCCATTAACCAAGTTCTACACATGTATACAGAACTTCTAGTTAGCTTCTTGTTATTGTTATTCCTCCCTCTTAAGTGTAAATAGATAACAAAGGACCACCAGTTATATGAGAGAAGTCCATAACAATAAAGACAGCTACAAACAAATTAAAAACAAAACAGTACACTTGGAGGAACCAGAGACCAAAAAAAGATGAACAGAATTTAGAAGGAAAGAGACAATATATTCTTGAAAGAATAATAAGATGTTCCTTAAAAACAGGCATTCAAAGAACAAGAGCCCTTGAAAATTAAAAATGTGGTAGCATAAGCTAGAAAGCCATTCAAAGGCATGGAAGATAAAGTTAAGTCCCCCAGAAAGTAACAAGGAGAAAAGAGAACAAAAAATTAGGGATAAAAGATGAGACAAACATAAGGTTAACACGCGATGTCCAATATTCAAGTAATAGAAGGTCTAGAAAGAGAAAACAGTTGTATGAGAGAAGGTATAGGGGCAATATAAGCAAAGAAATAATAAAAGTAACTTTTCCAAATGTCCAGATTGAAAGCTCCTGGCACAATGGAGGAGATAGATTTATACCAAGATTTATACAATTAGTATAAACATTGGATTTGGAGCTTAAAAGAAAATTTCAATAGTTTTCACTGAAAGAAAACTGATCACAGAGATTAGAATGGTATAGGATTCTGAATAATAACACTTAATACAAATGTTAGGTAGAGCCAGAAAACATTAAGAAAACATCTTCAAAATCCCTAGGGAAAATATTTTCAATCTAGAATTTTATCCCAGACAAAGTAACAGTCAAGGTGGGAGTAAAATAGAAATATTTTCAGATGTACAAAGTCTTAACATTTTATATTTCCCTTATACACTTTCTTGGAAAGCTGTTAGTTTATTTTCTTCACAGAAACAAGTGAAGAGTGAAGAGGAAAGCAGGAGACATGCCATTCAGAAAATGAATAACTGAATGTACGAAACAGGTAAAAAGCAAATTCTCAAGGATAATAATGAGGGAAAATTCCAAGCAGCAATGTAGTAGGCCTAGAGAATTCCAAGTTCAGATTGCAGATTGAGAATTGAAAGTGATATGTGAGGAATCTCCAAGGCAAAAATCCTACACTGTGATATGGACAAGAATATTGAGAGGGCATTTGTGCTGCCAGTGGAGAATTCTGTGATGAATTAGTGAGCAATACAAATAATTAGGTAATTATTAAAATCTAGGAAAAATGAAAAGTTATATAAGAAAATAAGCTCATGGTTCAGTGGTAAAAAAATTTACATAATTATATAAACATAGGTAGGAAAAATGATTGTATGGTAGGAATTCAATACATATTGTATAACACTAGTGTATAGGCATACCTCAGAGACATTGCACTTTTGGTTCCAGACTGCCACAATAAAGTGACTATCACAATAAAGTCACATGAATTTTTAAATTTTATAATGCATATAAAAGTTACGTTTGCACTATATTGCAGCCTATTAAGTCTTCAATAGCATTATGTCTAAAATACAATGTACACACGATTAATTTAAGAGGCTTTATTGCTAAAAGATGCTAACAATCATCTGAGTCTTCAGCAAGTCATAACCTTTTTGCTAATAGAGGCTTTAGCCTCCATGGTGACATCTGCTGGCTGATCAGTGTAGTGGCTGCTGAAGGTTGTGAGCGTTGTGGCAATTTCTTAAAATAAGACAATGATAAAGTTTCCTGTGTCAATTGACTCTTCCCATTCACAACAGCTTTTTCTGTAGCACACAACACTGTTTGATAGCATTTTACCCACAGTAGAACTTCTTCCAAAACCGGAGTCAATCCTTACAAGCCCTACTGCTGCTTTATCACCTAACTTTGTGTCATGTTCTAAATCATTAGCTGTCATTTCAACAGTGTTCACAGTATCTTCATCAGTAGCAGATTCCATCACAGAAAACCACATTATTTGCTTGTCCATAAACAGAAAATCTTCATTTATTCAAGTTTTATCATGAGATTGCAGCAATTAAGTCACATCTTCAGGTTCCATCTTCAATTCTAGTTCTCTTGCTCCTTCCAGCACATCTGCAATGACTTCCTACACTAAACACTGTGACTTCCTCCACTAAAGTCTTGAACCCCTCAGGGTGATCCAAGAGGGTCTGAGCCAACTTTTCAAAACTCCTGTTAATGTTGAGGTTTTGCCCTCCTCCCACGTTCCTAGTGGAATATAGAATAATGAATTCTTTCGAGAAGGTTTTCAATTTATGTTACTTAGATCCATCAGAGGAATCACTATTTATGGCAGCAATATCCTTATAAAGTGTGTGTTTTAAATAGTAAGACTTGAAGGTCAAAATTACTCCTGATTCATGGGCCGCAGAATGGATGTTGTTTTAGCAGGCATGAAAATAACATTCATCTCCATGTACATCTCCATCAGAGCTCTTGGGTAACTAGCTGTATTGACAATTAGCAGTAATATTTTGAAAAGACTTCTCCTCCCTGGCTCTGAAAGTCCTAGATGGCATCTTCTTTCAAAAGAAATTTGTTGCCACTTTTGGGAGGCCGAGGCAGGTGGATCACCTGAGGTCAGGAATTTGATACAAGCCTGACCAACACGGTGCAATCCCATCTTTACTAAAAATACAAAAATTACCTGGGTGTAGTGGCAGGCACCTGTAATCCCAGCTACTTCAGAGCCTCAGGTAGCAGAATCGCTTGAAACCAGGAGGCAAAGGTTGCAGTGAGCTGAGATCATGCCACTGCACTCCAGCCTGAGCAACAGAGTGAGACTCCATCTTAAAAAAAAAAAAAAAAAAAAATGAAGGCTGTTTCATCCACATTGAAAATCTTATTTAGTGTAGCCACCCTCAACAATGATCCCAGCTAGATCTTCTGGATAACTTGCTGTAGCTTTGCTTCACCTTCTACTTTTATGTTATGAAGACAGCTTCTTTCCTTAAACCTCATGAACCTAACTCTGTTGACTTAAAATTTTCCTTCTGCAACTTCCTAATCTCTCTTAACTTTCCTGGACTAGAAGAGAGAGCCTTGCTCTTCTGGCTTGTGAGAATGTTGTCTTCTATTCAGACTACTCAAACTTTTTCCAACTCGGCAATAGGACTGTTTCACCTACTAATCATTTGTGTCTTTCTTGAAATAGTACTTTTAATTTTCTTCAAAAAACTTTTTCTTTGTATTCACAGCTTGGCTAACTGTTTGGTACAAGTGGCTTAGCTTTTGGGCCTATCTTGGATTTCAACTTGCCCTCCTCCTGAGCTTAATCATTTCTAGCTTTTGATTTAAAGTGACAGATGTATAACTCTTTCTTTCGCTTGAAAACCTGGAGGCCAAGATAGGACTATTATAATAATTGGCCTAATTTCAATATTTTTGTACTAAAGGAATAAGGGGGCCCAAGGAAAGGGAGAAAAATGGGGCAATGGCCGGTCAGTGGAGCAGCCAGAATGCACGCAACATTTATTGATTACGCTCACCATCTTAAGATCACCACAGTGGCTCACGCCTGTAATCTCAGTATTTTGGGAGTCTGAGGCAGGTGGATTGCTTGAACCCAGGAGTTTGAGACAATCCAGGGCAACATGGCAAAACCCTGTCTTTACAAAAAAAAAAAAAAAAAATACAAAAATTATCCAGGCATGATGGCAAGTGCCTGTAGTTTCAGTCACTTGGGAGACTAAGGTGAGAGGATCCTCTGAGCCTGTGGAGGTCGAAGCTACAGTCAGTGAGATCACACTACTACACTCCAACTTGGGTGACACTCTGTCTCTAAAAAATATATATAAATAAATAAATCATCATCTTAAATGGGCATAAGTTAGTGGCATGCCAAAACAATTGCATTAGTAAAATCAATGATCACTAATCACAGATCACCATGACAGATACAATAATAATGCCAAAGCTTAAAATATTGCAAGAATTATTAAATGTAACCCAGACACAAAGTGAGCATATGCTGTTGGAAAATGATTCTAATTGAATGAGTCTAATATTCAACAGAGGGTTTCCATCAAACTTCAATTTGTGAAAAATGCAATATCTGCAAAGTGCAATAAAGTGAGATGCAATAAAGCAGGGTACACCAGGATTCAAAACTAATAGAATAGCATTTACTTAGCAATACAAAGGCAAGGCAGGGCACTGTGGCTCATGCCTGTAATTCCCAGCACTTTGTGAGGCCAAAGCAGGTGGATTGCTTGAACCCAGGAACTCCAGACCAGTCTGGCCAACTTCGGGGAACCTCATCTTTACTAAAAATACAAAAATTAACTGGGCTTGGTGACACGCACCTAGAATCCCAGCTACTCAGGAAGCTGAGGCAGGAGAATCACTTCAACTCAGGAGGTGAAGGTTGCAGTGAGCCGGGAGATGGCACCACCGCACTCCAGCCTGGGAGACAGAGTGAGTGAGACTCTGCCTCAACAAAAATAAAAACAGAGGCTGAGGCAGGTGTATCATGAGGTCAAAAGATCAAGACCCTCCTGGTTAACATGACGAAACTCTGTCTCTACTAAAAATCAAAAACTTAGCCAGGTGCGGTGGAGGCAAATGTAGTCCCAGCTACTCAGGAGGCTGAGGAAGGAGAATCACTTGAACCCAAGAAGTGGGTTGCAGTGAGCCGAGATCAGACCACTGCACTCCAGCCTGGGTAACAAAGCGAGACTTCTTCTCAAAATAAATAAACAAATAATAAAAACAGGGAAAAAAAGAAAGCAATTGGAGGCAAATAGGAGAAAAAGCTAAAAGTTATACATGTTTGCCTCTTGAAAGCGGTAATAAGCAGGAAGGGAGAACTTTTTATTAATATAAGCCCTTTTGTATAATTTCTATTTTTATGACTTTTGTACATAGTTACTTTGGCAAAAATTAAAAGAACAATCAACCTTCAGACTGGTCTGTCCCTTGGTGACCTACAATTAAACAGAATCTCATTATAATTAGAAGTATTTACATGGTCCTGAGAAGGGAATAATCCCAAGTTTTGGCTGATCCTGAGAATCTTTTCACCAGACTCAACTCCATGAGAAAAGTGTCCCAAATGCCCATTGCGTATATTGACAAAACTGACTACGTAAGTGGAAGCAAGGCAGCAAGAGCACAAAACAGAGGAAACAGAATGTGCATTTCCCCCTTCTCATTACAATGCTCTGTGCTGCTGGAAAGCATTTCTCCTAGAGAGGAAAGTGCAAGCTTCATTTCCCGCAAGTGAAATTTGACCACCCAGAATTATCAGACTGGAATACTTACCGGTTCATGAGGAAATGAGGTAGTGATTTTAAGAAACAGCCTAACCCCATAACCACACATCCAGTGCCAATCATTATAGGTCTGTGCAGTTTGGTTCCAAAATAACTCACAAATATGATCAACAAAAGATTTCCTAGAAAAATATTGAGAATAATCATTTTTTAAAATATGAACAGAGTCTTAATTAACAGCCTCACCCAACCATTTACATTCTAGCATTTACTGCATAACAACTAACTTCAATAATGGGATTTGTGCTAGGATTGCACTTAATAATAAATGAATAAAACACAATCCCTGCCCTCAAGAAGGGTTTTATTTTTACAATGCAGACAGATACAGAAACAGATATCTGTGGAACACCAACATTCATAGAGAAGAAAAGAAGAGAAGCCAGTGAAAGGAACTAAAGAATGGTTCTGGGAAATGTGAAAGGCTCTATTTGTGACTGTCCAGACTTCGAAATGAGGTGCAAAAGGTGTCAGCCTGCATGTGACCTCTGACCTTTCTCTCAATGCCTGCTCCATAGAACACTCTCATGTTTGTTTTCCTATGTCCAGAAAGAGAAGCGACAGTCAAATTGAGATAACTTCATGTTTTGTAACTACTTATTTAAAAATACTTTCATTTCGGCCAACATGATCAATACAGGGATCTATTTTTTTTCTACTTCTTTCCCTCGATCAGACAATGCAGTTAAGTAAAAATTAGTAGACCCCCACTTCTGTTGGGTCTTAAGTGAGTCTGGATTTGAGGAATAAAAATGGCAATGAAAAATATAACTCCATGTCTTAGGAAGAAGCATTAGAATAAAGAAACTAATGGGGAAGGCTCATCTGATGGACAGATTCTTGAAGAGTGTGCAGTAAAGGGTTAAAAAAACCAAATATATGAGAAAGGTTTTTGCAAACCATACAATTTTTAATTCAGTAAATAATATCTACCTTGCTTTCGCTATATATAAGGAACACCTCTGCAATGACTCAAGATTATAAAAAATTCAAAACTTTTTTCCCTCAAGGAGTTAATGGTTTTCTCAGTGGTGTATATTTTTAAAACTTTTCTTTCCATCTATATTTTTCTCTAGTTTGCCTTGTATGTAGAAGATATGTCCATTTGTACATTATGTTGTATGGAGAGTGCCCCACCTCTGTAACCATATCAGCCACACTGACCTCTCTAGGTTTCTAACATCTCATCACTAAAGCCATCCATGTTGAAGGTAGTGTCTACAGAGGCCATTGTTCGAAATCTATATCTATTTTTTGAAAGAAGAAAGGAAGAACTTTCCTTCTTCACCTAACAGTGAGTTCGTCTTTTAAACTGCCTTGCTCTGTCAGGAAATAATTATTATGAGAAAGCATGGGAAAAGAGAAGTAAGTTTTTGTCAAAGGTATGGAGAATGCTGCCTGTGAAACTGACTCGTGAAATGTAAGCTAAGTGATACGTCTATTGGCATTTGTAAATTACCTCTCTTTTGTCCCTCAACACTATTTCTGATCTTCATCGCTCTCCTCAAACTACTTATCACCACCCACTAGTGGTAGAAATTGTTAATATTTTATGCTTTATCAAGAAATTTGGGGCAATCAAACATGAAGGCATCTGAGTTTTCCACCTGATGGCCTTACCACCTTCCTTCAGTTTCAGAGGTCGTGCTTCCCATCTGACCACCCAACACTAAACACACCACCAGGGTACTGCCATTTTCTTCAGCAACTTACTCTAGTAGTTAAAATCTCTCACATATATTTTAAGCCTCTCTCTCTCAACTGGACTTTAGTCTAATTTCTCTGATTTCCCTCCAAACTTCCCAGAATATTTATCCATATTCATAGAGTCTACTTTTTCCCCTCCCTAATCCCCTAAAGTCATTCCTGCCTCTACTGCTTTCTAGCTTCTAAGTTTGCTAAAACAAAAAGTGCCCTGGCAAAGATCATCAATTATCTCCATATTATGAAACCCAGGGGATAGTTCTTCATCCTTATCTAACTGGATATTTCCGATGCTTTTGACACTGCTGATACATGTGTTTTCATTTTCAAATTTCTACTACTTTGTCTTTCACAATACCATTTGCTCCTGGTTCCCCCTCTAGTTTCTCTGACCATTCCTTCTCTTGACATTGCTATAGACTCCTTTTCTTCCATTTGTGCCTTAAATGCTTGGGCAGAGCTCAGGATCTATTCTTTGTCCACTGTAATTATCACCCTATGTCCTCTCCCTGAATAACCTCATAATTTTTTTCTCTAATTTTAGCAAATGCCTACTTACTTGCTAATCAATAGCTCCAGCCCAGATAGTTCCCCAGTGCTTCAGTCTCCTATAACTGCAATGTGAACATATGACTTTGTCACCAATTGTCATCAATAGAAAAGATATGTTCAGATGACAATATGGCTGTTGCAAATAATTCAAAATATTGACACAATAATTACTTTTAAATTAGTAAATAATTACTTTTAATTTAATGAGATGATTAAAAGTACAAATATCACTCTATATAAAATTGTTTTAATATCCTGATAATTCTACTTCAATATCATTGGTTTCCTTTGCACCCATGTAGTTCTTTTTATGCAACTGAAATTATTATTCCAGGGTCATATGGTGTTAGATTGCTAAAAGGGTCCTTGACACAGAAAGGTTAACAACCTCTTTCAATCCTCAGTGACACTCCCTCACCTAGAGGATTAGAAAATAAATACCATAGTAGGCACACAAAGCTCTTCATAACCCATTGCCCACCCTTACCCATTTCTCCAGGTTCATATCTTAATACTTTCCAACTTTATCTTGGCTAGCCAATGTTATCAGGCTGAATGTTGCTCCTCACTGTGGGTAACACGCCCCATGGGCACTGAGGGAGGAGAACTGTCCAGACCCCAGGCACAATTAGTGCCTGAAGAATATCTTAGTTTATAGTGCTATTACTCAGCTATTTCCTTTATATAATCTTTTATATATAATCATATATTAGTTTATAGAATTAGTGCCTGAAGTATAACTTATTGCTTACATATATCTAGCTTATATAATCATACTTAATAGTTATATCTAGCATACTTAGTTCTACATAATCTTTCTATATAATCATATAGGTATTGTAGTGGGAGCTTTACTGACACATTTAGTGCTGATTTATAGAATCCTTCTATATAACCATATAGTAGTTTGTAGTAGGAAGAATGCATAGAAAAGTCACAGAACAGAAGCAGTACATGGGAAAACAGCCAGACCAGGACAAGAACCAAAGACCCAGGCGGTGGCATCCCTACCTGAAAGGGCATACGCTGTATGGCAGGCTTGGAGCAAGAGGCTCTACTCCTGATAAAGGAGTTGTAGTATCTTGCATCCAGTTCCTGCACAAAGTAGACCTTAGGCCTGAGATCCTGGAAATAGCAGAGGGAGAAGAACCCCTCTGGTGCGACCAGTCATGGCAGCTTGTACACCCTGTCAGTCTTTTCTCACTTCTGTGCTAGCTCAAATCACCCTCCCATAAATATCTTAAGAGAAGAGCACAGGTCTGTCAGCTCCCACTGCACTGGCTTACAAGTATCCTCCTATTAGAAATCCTTTGAAGTCTACAGTCCCCAGATAAGAAGTGTTGCGCATGACACCTTCTGTACATAGCCCACCTCCTTGCCTTCGTGACCTAATGGGGGTGGACTCCTTTTCTGTACACGACCCTCTCCTACTGCACATAAGCATGGCTCCCTGCTGCACACAGCCCACCTCTTTGCCCAAGTGACATAATGCGGTGGCCCCCTCACTTGTGACTCACATGATTATGTATGCCCTATTACTAAGCCTAGAGATGATGACCTCACTCACGACCCTGCCCCCTGCTTGTACCTAATAAATACAGATGCTCCTGGGCATTTGGGTCACTCGCTGATCTCTGCTTACAGGTGTCATGGCTGCCCGAGTCCAGATGCTCATCACCAGTTTTTCAGTGTCCTGTCTCTTTAATTCTCAGATCCTGCACCTCAGCACAGCATAAAGGACACCTCACGACCCTGTGGGGCCCTACAGTCCTACACTCACATAGGCTATTACACTGAGTCATTCTTAGGATGCTTCTTCTATTGGAATTTTATTCACACTTACTTAAGCTCATTTCTTCTCCTAGAAAATTTTCAGTTATCCTTCAAGAGTCTGCCTTTCCTAAATGAGTCTGTGTTCCTTTTATTCCTGTAAGACCTCGTACATATATATGCCTCCAAACTTACTTCATTCAATCAATGTTATTATTATTTGCATCTCTACCTTCTATTAGATCATGAGCTCAGTCTATTCATGGGCTATACATGAAGTTAGTTCTAACTCTTTCACTGGGATCAGCACCCAGGTGATACAGGGTAAGATGTAAGGAGGTTGAACACTGGTAGACGAGATCAAGAATCGTGTTTCAGTTTTGCTTCTCCTCAATCCTGATTTTTTTTTAAATACGGGTTAAGTATATTAAAGGCAATTATCATCTTGAAGAAAGTGGAAGCTATTATAAAACTAGAAGGGAGTGACACTCGTATTTCTATATAATTTTTTCATGGGGAAATCTTTCTTTCCTTCATTCTCACTCTCTGTGTTCACATATTCCCAATCATCCACAAAAATCAGAGTCTACGAGTAGTAGACTCTATTCTTCCCTAGAAGCTGCTTCTGAAATAAATTCAGAGAGATATGAAAGCAATTTTTTCTTCTCTGTACTTAGAAAAAGAATTGTCAACCTCCCAAACCAAATAGCAGAAAAATATTTGCATTTTCATTTGTAAGACAATTTCTTCGGCCTCCAACAATATCTTGTACATCTTCTAGGTGTTCTATCTATATCTTCTAAACACAAAGATGGAGCCCTTAGTTTCCCTTAGGGTTGTGAAATGATAGATTTAAATATAAGTACTCCAAATACTCTACCATTCATGCTACATAACTAAGAAACTATTAGAATAAAAAGAACAATGGTGGGATATGTGGCAATATTTAGGTGCTAATATGAGATAATATTTAAATAAATTATTTCCAAGCACATTCTGAGCTTAGCTAATCAATCAGTTTTAGAAAACACATAACTCAATCACGTTAAATGACATATAACAGCAAATAAGGAGAACAAAATTCAGAGTAGCTCCATAGATTAGACAAAATACAAAAAGAAGAAATGCAAAAATAATTCATTACCAATCTCAAAGCTTCCATTAATGAATCCAACTAGAGATGTTGGGATGTTGAATTGTCTCTCTATTTGTGTGAGCATGGAATTCATATAAGATCCAGATAGTGTTTTGGATACATATGCACATGTTATTGCCAATAGAAACATCTAGGAAAAAAATAAGTAAAAAAACATATAAAAAATTATTTTAAAATTGTATACTTGTGGTCTGTTGACAAATGTCTTCCATCTTAAGATTGATTGTCTCCAATTTAAGTAACCTTTGAATTTGCAAGAAATTTTTAAACAAAGTCTGTTCCTCTTGTCTGTCATACTGTGATTTCTGTATGAAAACTCAAAGTGAGACTAATTTTGTAGGCAGTTGCAGCCTCAATATTGTATAAGCATACTTGTACATACATAGAAACAAACAGTCATTCTAAGTAATACATAGCTGATGATTTAAACAGGTTTTCAGAACTACAATGCTATCTAAAGTACGAAAGACTTCATACATACACTGCAATGAAAAGAAAGAATGCGGAATTACACAAAGACATTATTTCAGTAGCAAATATGCTTAAGTTCTCTGCGGACAACAAGTCCACCGATAACCTTGGCTGACCCACTTTTTTCTGTTCTTGCTTGTAATTCTTGGTCAGAAACATTCTGCTTTCTCAGCAATGAAGGAAATATCAAGAACAATCTGAGTTATGGCTTCATTCTTCCTATAGTAGATGCCCTGCAACCCTTGAGCTCAGCAATCCCAGCTGTTTCTAGGGGATATAAGCCTGGGGCAGAGTGTTTTCAGGGTTTCTCAGCTGCAGTGTAACTGGAGGACCACACAAAAAGGAGACTCAATTTATTTTGGGAAGCTTTTCTGAATCTTGGAGAATCAGCTCACATGTACCCTGGCCTTCCATTTATTCTTACTGCCTGCCTAATATGTATACCATAAATTTCCATATGTTTAATTAATCATACTTATATGAATTGATGATACAGTTCCAGAAAACAGTAAGGTTGATATAATCCATAACAACATCAGGGATGAGTTCACAGATAGAACCACTGTAATTACCAGGAGTTCGTATGGTTTTACTAAAAATATGAAAAGTTAAAATTCTGATAGGTTTATTAAATCTAAAAAGATAGCTATTAGTAAGAGATTTTAAAGCAGCAGCATTGCATACTTGTAATAGTATAGTTAGGTAGATGAATTACTACTTCAAAATGAACAAATTATAGATAGATTTACATCATCTTGAATAGTGGTCTCGTGTCACATGCCATAGGGATTTTTGCTTCATCCTATTAAAGATACTTTCTGGTGACACTTGCATCCTGGGATACCATTTGACCTACTATCTACCTAGCACACTCAAATTCTTAAAATTCTCACACTTTCCACCTTTCACACCTCCAGTCTTGAGCCAATCACACAACTTGTTCTCTATTTCACATATTTCCTTCAAGTGAATTCACAACTTTTTCTGTTTCTCAGTCTCCAACCCAGCCACATGTTCTTTCTTCATGACCAGCAAATGATATCAGCAACTTCACCTGCAAACTTACCTCTATCCCTACCTTCTATAATTTTCCTATGTCTTTAGAAAGATCAGTTTCCCTCTCCTATACAATAAAATACTTCCAAGCCTGCTCTCAAATCCATTCTTTCCATTTCTGAGACTCTCATTCATCCATTATTGCTCTTTTTTCTCTTCCTCTCTCTTTTTTTAATAGTTCAGTGCTTTTATATAACATTATAATGCCTTTCTTCCCTTTGTTCATCTGGTTAATGTATAATTAATTTTCAAGACTCAGGTATTTTATGACCTCCATTGTGAAGCCTCCCTTTCCTCTTTGCTCCCCAGGTAAGCCTTAACCATTCACTCTTTATCTCCCCATCCGACTCTGTGCCTAACTTGGTTACATCCTCTATTACAGTGCACTTTATTTATGGGTTTGGATGTCTATAGGTTCCTCTCTCATTATTCTGTGAACAAGTCAGAGACAGGAGCCATATGCTATTTACCCTTGTGTCTCTGGTGCCTACTAAGTGCCTGACAAATAGTAGGCACCCAACACAAGTTTATTGAATTAATGACAGAGCAAATATCAAAATATCTTGAACAAATTAAAGCTGAAAGGAATATGAAATTTAATAAGATTAAATATAGTGTTTCATCCATCTGGACTGCTACAACAAAATACCCTAAGCTGAGTGGCTTATAAACAGCAGAAAATTAATTCTCACAGTTTCAAAGACTGGAAAGTCCAAGATCAAGGCACTAGCAAATTGGACTGGGTGAGGCCTGTGAACTCAAAATTGTATCCAAGACAGTTCTTAATCAATTTAGGAAGTTTATTTTGCCAAGATTAAGGTCATGCCCATAACACAGCCTCAGGATGTTCTGACAATATGTATGCAAGGTGGTCAGGGTACAGCTTGATTTATACATTTTAGGGAGACATAATGCACCAATCAATGCACATAAGATTTACATTGGTTCAATCTGGAAGGGCAAGACAACTTGAAGTGGGGGATTTCAGGTCATAGGTAGATTTTTAAATGCGCTGATTGGCAATTGGTTGGAAGAGTTATTATGAATTGAAAATAATATCCAGGTTACAATAAGGGCTTGTGGGGACCAAGATTCTGTCATGCAGATGAAGCCTCCAGGTAGCAAGCTTCAGGAAGAAAAGATGTAAGTATTTCTTGTCAGACTTAAAGTCTGTGCTGATGTTAGTTCTGGCTAGTTTTTCCTGAATTCCAAAAGGGAAGAGGGTACAATGAGATGTGTCTGACCCATGCTGCTTTCCATTATGGTCTAAACTTGTTTTTCAGGTCAATCTTGGAATGTCTTTGGCTGAGAGAAAGGGTCCATTCAGATGGTTGAGGTCCTTAGAATTTTATTTTTGCTTTACATTCTTCTTCTTCCAGCTAAGATCTGCCAGAGGCAACAACAATGTCTACCAAATTTTTATTTTGTCCCATACCATTGTCAGGGTGGCATGGCTACCTGACTGAGACCTACCCTGTCCCTCAGTGGGACCTTCTATGGCCAAGGGATATAGAGTCAAAAGACTTATAGTGAATTAAATGTTCTAAGCCACATAGGAATGGACATGGACAAGTATTCATTACCCCTTAATTTTTTTCAGTAAAAAGCCAGCAAACAAAAAGCCAAGGCCAGGTTACAAAACAGACTTATCTTTAACGTCTATGCATTGAGCTACTATAATCTTGCTTTTAGTTATAGACTTACAGCAATTAGATACATAAAACATAAGCATTGCTCTGAAAAAAAATTAATATATACTGGCTGGGTGCAGTGACTCACACCTATATTCCCAGGACTTTGGAAGGCCAAGGTCTGTGGATGACTTGAGCCCAGGAGTTTGAGACCAACCTGGGCAACATGGCAAAATCCTGACTCTAAAAAAATACAATAAGGCATTGTGGTACATGCCTATAGTGCCAGCCACCTGGGAGGCTGAGGTATGAGGATCACTTGAGCCCAGAAGGTCAAGGTTGCAGTAAGCCATGATGATGCCACTACACTCCAGCCTGAGTAACAGAGTGAGACCTTGAGTGAGTCTAAAAAAAGAAATAAAAAAATGAAAATAAAATTTAAAAATGCATATATATCTATCTGCACAACTCATAACTGGCTTTGTCACAAGGCATCTTTATCCTCTCAGTAATTATTTTCTTTTAATTCTACAAAATCATAAAATTCTTTATGATTGGGGTGGATGAAAAGGTGCCACATAATAATTCAGAAGGCAAAATCCTTTGTTTCATCAGCTATTTAAGCATCTGTGTATTCATCCCTGATTTGGATGATCTGAACTAACTCACTTCCTCAAACCTAGCCCTCACAGTCTCACACACCCACCTCGTCTGCAGCAGTCCATAGACCTAGAAGAAGGGTACCTGTATAGTCTTAACAGCAGGGCATTTGTAGTGAAAAATAGATCATGCCCAGTGGGATCCCAAATGAGAGATTTGCATCTCTAGTCTTGAGAATACCATGATTCCAGTTTCCTTAGAAGTAAAACAAGGAGAGATAAATAACATTAATATTTTGTTAATCAAAAGAGAATTTGTGTGTCAGAATGAAAAAAGGAAGCTATTCCATTAGGGATTCAACTAAAAATATGAAGAAAAAGTATAATCTGCTATTCTTTAGAGGATGATTATAGCCAAGAAATAATTCATGATTAAATCTGCATTCAAAAATAAAAGTTGGGGCTGAAATCTAGTAACAAGTGTTAAACTTTTCCTCTGAAACAATTTCTCTCTCTCTCTCTCTCTCTCTCTCTCTCTCTCTCTCTCTCTCCCCCTCTCATTCTCCTTTTCTATTAAAGAAAAATTATAGTAAGACCAGTCTGTGTGTAAAAATAAGTGTTAGGCATATTATGTTTGGCCTGATTGTTTACATAAAGTGCAGCAAGAACTTGACTTATCATATAGGCTCTTTTTAAGTTGACTTTGTTGGAAATTTACCTGAAAATATGTTATTCTAGTCAAAGGCTTGGTAAAATGACCAGTGTCTCCAACTGTTCTGTTCTAAAACAAAAGACTCTTACTAAACTTATGCGAATAACTATATTGTCATAAAACCAGAATACTCACGGTTTCCAAATTTTGGAGAACTTGGAGAGAAAGATAAATTTCATCATAAAATCATACTTCACTCAATTGCTCTAAAGAATAAATAATTTAGAAGAAAAAGATTTCCTTGACTCTTTAACCAGAGCATCAGCCTTCCAAACAACATGTCCTTTGTTCACCTTGAATTGCCATTCATGGCAATTGGTTGGAAGAGTTATTATCAACAGAAAATAATATCTGGGTTACAACAAAGCAGTTCTTGTCATATAAGAGCTGTTTATCAGGCACTGTAGAATCTTGCAGCTCCTCACAGAGTTAGGATCAAGGGGAAAGAGCACTCTCTGCTCATAAGTATCTCCTCTTTGCATCCTCAGGTAGCAAGATCCTATGTAAACAATTTTTATTTTATTATAGAACTCTTTGGGGTCCCATTATTTCCACTAGCAAAGGGGTAGCTTCAGTTAACATTCCATAACAAGGCAGTAAATTTCCTCAACTGGAAATTCTCTAGTCCAGTATTTTTCATTAGGAAGTGCTCACAGTATTTTACCATAAGCCCTAATAAACACTCCACAAAGGGATATGAAGCGGAGAATTGGTTCCTACTAGCCCTTCAGCTTCTACCCTACATTCTGTAGGCTCAGGCAATCTTACTAGTTTCCATTTAGTGTGTCCAATTAACAGTCCTTAAAAAGCAGATTTACATGACTTCAGTTTCATAGTACTAGACAGGAGAAACATCCCCTAATCAGATACAATACCCATTTTTCACAAGACATTCAGGTAAAGGAGTTAAAATTACCTTACGTAAGGGCTGTTTAGACATCTTAACTTTCATAGTCCTATCAACCTGTATAATTTTATGTTCTGGTCCCAGGAACTTTTCTTTTCTACCCCTAGACCATTTTACCTTTTCTGGTGAAAAAGGATTTGGGGTCCCAGCAGAGGATTGAGCCAAGGGACTTGGGCTCTTTTTTTAATCTCTGTCTTAATTTACCTCAGCATTGCCCCAGGCAATGTCAGCTTCCTTATTATAACCTTTGCCTTTTGATGTTTCTTCAATTTCCCCAGTCCGGAGCAAATGCAGAAAACTGGTATGGGGCGATTTTAATGTGGGAGGACCTGTAGGGGTTCACTTTGGTCCACCCAATCTTTGATAGTGTTGTAAAAACCTTTGTTTCAACCCTATCAATTTTCATTTTATTTATTTCATTTCTTATGAACCATCCAAATATTTTCATCACCCTTCTGGGGTAAGTACTCTGACTCCCTTTCGTCTTTCTCATTTTTCTTTGTTAATTACCCCAGTGTTTTATTAAGCACATGTAAGACCCATGAGGACAGCAAATTTGATAAGGCTGTGATTATGCGGTAGTAATGACACCTGGAGTGCCCATGTAGAAGGGACTCCCTCTTAACCTCCAAATTTACCATGTGATATGGTTTGGCTGTGTCCCCACCAAAATCTCATCTTGAATTGTAGCTCCCATAATCCTCTCATGTTGTGAGAGGGATCCAGTGGGAAGTAATTGAATTGTGGGGGTGGATTTGCCCATGCTATTCTGTGATAGTAAATAAGTCTCACAAGATCTGATGGTTTTATAAAGGGCAGTTTCCTGGGACATCCTCTCTTGACTGCTGCCATGGAAGACATGCCTTTGCTCCTCCTTTGCCTTCCACCATGATTGTGAGGCCTCCCCAGCCATGTGGAACTGTGCGTCCATTAAATCTCTTTTCCTTTATAAATTACCCAGTCTTAGGCATTTATTCATAGCAGTATGAAAGTGGACTAATACGGTAAATTGGTACAGAAAGTGTAGTGCTGCTGTAAAGATATCTAAAAATGTGGAAGTGACTTTGGAACTGAGTAACAGGTAGAGGTTGGAACAATGTGGAGGGTTCAGAAGAAAATAGGAAAATGTGGGAAAGTTTGGAACTTCCTAGAGACTTGGAGGGCTCAGAAGACAGGAAGATGTGGGAAAGTTTGAAACTTCCTAAAGACTTGTTGAATGGCTTTGACCAAAATGCTGATAGTAATATGGACAGTAAAGTCTGGGCTGAAGTGTTCTCAGATGGAGATGAGGAACTTATCGGAAACTGGAGAAAAGGTGATTCTTGCTATACTTTAGCAAAAAGACTGGTGGCATTTTGCCCTTGCCCTAGAGATCAGTGGAAATTTGAACTTGAGAAAAATAATTTAAGGTATCTGGTGGAAGAAATTTCAAAATAAACCTTTCAAGAGTTGACTTGGGTACTCTTAAAAGAATTCAGTTTTATTAATTCACAAAGATATAGTTTGAAATTGGAGCTTATGTTTAAAAGGGAAGCAAAATATTAAAATTAGGAAAATTTGGAGCCACATGATGTGATAAAAAAGAAAAGCCCATTTTCTGAGGAGAAATTCAAGGGGGCTGGAGAAACTTGCATAAGTAATGAGAAGCCAAATATTAATCACCCAGACAATAGGGAAAATGTCTCCAGGACATGTCAGAGGTCTTCACAGTAGCCCCTCCCATCACAGGCCCAGAAGCCTAGGATAAAATGGTTTTCTTATGCAGTCTTTGGACTTGGTCCTCTGGGTCCCAGCCACAGTTCCCAGAGGGATCCAATATCCACTCAGGCCATTGCTTCAGAGGGTGTAAGTCTCAAGATTTGGTGGCTAACACAATGGTGTTTGGCTTGCAGGTGCACAAAAGTAAAGAACTGAGGTTTGGGAACCTCTGCCTAGATTTCAGAGGATGTAGGAAAACACCTGGATGTCCAGGCTGAGGTATGCTGCATGGGTAGGACCCTCATAAAGAACCTCTGTTAGGGCAGTGCAGAAGAGAAATGTGGGCTTGCACCTCCCACACAGAGTCTCCACTAGGGAACTGCCTGGTGGACCTGTGAGAAGAGAACCACCATCCTCCAGATCCCAGAATGGTAGATCCATTGACAGTTTGAACCATACACCTAAAAAAGCCACAGACACTCAATACCAGCCCGTGAAAGCAGCCAGGAGAAGGGCACTGTACCCTTCAAAGTCTCAGGAGTGGATCTTCCCAAGACCATGGGAATCCACTTCTTGCATCATTGTGAGCTGGATGTGAGACATGCAGTCAAAGGAGATCATTTTGGAGCTTTAAGGTTTGACTACCCCACTGGATTTCAAACTTGAATGGGGTCTCTATTTTTTTCATTTTGACCAATTTTTCTCATTTGAAATAGGTGTATTTACTCAACGCCTGTACCCCCATTGTATCTAGGAAGTAACTAACTTGCTTTTGATTTTACCGGCTCCTTGGCAGAACGGACTTGCTTTTTAAACTACCGGAGGTAATACTGAGATTAAATTTACCAAATTAGTCTTAGCAAAACTACTAAGATCATGGGAATTAAAAAGCATCTGAGGCAGCTTCTATCAGTCTTAAAAGCACTTTTCTTTTAGCCAAGTGATTAGAGATCTTTCATATAATTTGGTAATGAAATATCACTTCTACATGACACATATAAATATATAGCTATAACAGATATATACAGACTAAGCAGATCCAAAATACTTTTCATTTGCTTGTTTTCAAAAATTCTGTTACTTAGTTTCAACTATTAATTTAAAAAGTTAGGCCAGATGCCATGGCTCATGCCTGTAATCCCAGCACTTTGGGAGGCTGAGGCAGATAGATCACTTGAGTCTACATGTTTGAAACCAGCCTGGGCAACATGATGAAATACACCATCTCTATTAAAAGTAAAAAAACATGCTTGGCTTGGTGGTGCACACCTGTAGTCCCAGCTACAGGAGGATTTCTTGAGCCTGGGAGGTTGAGGATACAGTGAACTGAGATCGTGCCAATGCACTCCAGCCTGGGTGACAGAGTGAGATCCTGCCTCAAAAAAACAAAAATAAAAATAAAAAGTTAAAGGAGCCAAAAAAAAGTTGAAGGAGAGAGTTACCATTCCAGGCCTTCTCAAAAGAGAGAACAAACTGAAGCAGAAGGGCATAGGTTTTGAGATATCAATCCTTACAATTTCAAAAAGAAACAGATTACAGAATTCAAAAATTTTAGAGTTCTTACATTAAGAGTAAATCAATATTTTTGATAAAATCTTGTTCTAATCAATTCTAGCCTATCTTTTAGTGTTGCATGAGTGTATTTTTAATATCAAATTTCAATTTTTAGAAAAACTATTATAATTCCTTTTAATTATAGTTGATTTAATCACATAACATTTTTATAAATTCCTGTTTTACTCACCTTATTACAACTTACACAGACCATTCTTGGACTTTCTGGTTTGTTCTAAATATTTCTCTTTCTTGAACAATGAGTGATTTTATTTTAGGACAAAAACTCACCATGCAAAATTCTTTCTCATGTGATATTACTTTTCTTTTAAGCTTTCTTACCAAAATACCTCTTTATATCTATAATTTTCTTTACATCTCTTATTTCCTGGTCCCTTTTATCTCATTTTATATATAATTCTTAAATAACCCCTGAATTAGACAAAATTATTTACCTTTGAATAAGAACACTTTAAACCTTAAGAAGAATCTGTCCACGACTCTTGAAATTCCACAAAGAAACAAAGAGTGAGAAGTGCCTTTGTTCTGGGTGCTTTAAGGGGTTCAAGTCATTTGATGTCTTCTCTAGATTATTTTTGGTACCACAGATAGTGGAAGGGGAAGAAGGATTAGGGTGGAAGGAAAGTAAATGAAAGAACAATTATCCTTTTAAGACAGGAAACTACAACGGAAACCGAGGGCATAATTTTTTTTTTTTCTTTTTTTCAGCTATGAGGAATTTTAGCAACTTCAGAGGCCTGGATCCTCATAATTTGGAATTCTCGTTTGAATTTGACTAATTTGGGTAGAGCTGGTCAAATCGGATGAGAGAAATACCAGAACAACAACAACAAAAATCCAACAATACAATTACTGAGCTCTCTAATACTAAGGAGAAATTAAGACTAGCTGGCGGCCGGGCACGGTGGCTCAAGCCTGTAATCCCAGCACTTTGGGAGGCCGAGGCGGGTGGATCACAAGGTCAAGAGATCGAGACCATCCTGGTCAACATGGTGAAACCCCGTCTCTACTAAAAATACAAAAAATTAGCTGGGCATTGTGGTGCTTGCCTGTAATCCCAGCTACTCAGGAGGCTGAGGCAGGAGAATTGCCTGAACCCAGGAGGCGGAGGTTGCGGTGAG